GCACCCCCTCCAGGCCAAAGCCCGACAGGCCCAGAGGCCCTGAGCCCCAACAGGCAGTCACCAGGCCAGGCCGGCACACACCCCAGCGCCCAGCCCCAGACCCCGGTGCAGCCCTACTCTGAACTGTGAATCCTCATAGAATCTTGACTGTAACTATTTTTTTTTATTAAAATATATTCTTGTTAGGTTTCTGAACTGAGCATATTCTCTCATAGCAACCTCTCTTATAGCGTGTATAATGGGTTTTTTTTTTTTGGCCAGACAGTGTTTAAAAATTTATATATATAAAAAATCTAATTACATTATAATACTATAAAATTGATTTACAACCAAAACTGTATAGGATATGAATTATTTTCAAGAACAACATTGGTAATAATTGATATTGCATTGAAGTTAAAACGTAGCCAGTGATGCATGATGTACAATTGAGTGAACATGTGTTTAATCTGTATTTTCTACAAAGATAAACTCAAAACTTGGAAAATCTTTGCATAATATGTCACCGTACATATTACTTGATGTAATCATGTTTTGTTTTTTGTTTTTTTTACCTGCAATGGTATCTTTTTATGGAGGGTAGAAACTGAAATAGCCGAGGTGTTTGGTCATTCTCCCCATCTGTCAGCCATCTTGGTTTCACTGACTATTTTTTTCCATTGCAATGACCAGCCAATAGGATTTTTTTGTATGGGATGATATAATGGCTTCCACTAGAGTGGATTATATGCAACACTGCCCAAAACTGCAGGCATATATACTGCATATAGAAAAAAAACACTTTTAAACAGCTGTACACTGTAGTGACCTCTATGCACGAAAGGGTTAATAGAACTTTTGGAGCTTAGTGACTTTTGCCATTAAAAAAATTGGTATAAGTTACTCAAATTTACTGTAAAATACACTATCACTAATGCAAATAATGTAAATTTTGTGCAGTATTAGCTGAGAGTTATCCCATTCACATGGAGCATTAATATATTTTTCAAAATGCAGCTGTGACAGGTTACTGCTGAGACCATCTTGAATCAAAACTCTGCTGCCAAAGACTGTGGGTGATATGCAGTCCTTCAAGCAATACTTAGGCCTTTAGTTTTAACATGAGTCAGCGTTCGTCTAGGTGTCTCAGATAAATGCTGTTTATTATGATGTGAAACTGCAATTAAAGTCTGAGATGATGCCTGTTCCTTGTTTCAGCATCCATACCCAACAGAGGATGAGAAGAGACAGATTGCAGCACAAACAAATCTCACCCTTCTCCAAGTGAACAACTGGTAAGATGAAGTCGAACTGTAAAAAAAAGGGCCAGGTGTGCCAAAGACTAAACGTCCACATGTAGAGTGAATCCACACGTTCATGTTACTTTAGTGCTCACTGGGGGGTGAAGAAGGCTTTGCTGCTGCTGATGACACTGAGTCGCCATCTGCTGGTTGTTCATAACCAGCACAAGTGAGACAGAACTTTTTTATTTAGACCTTAGACCTTTTTTTAACAGAGTAATGCTTTCTGTGCAGCCTGTGTGACATCCATCACAACACAAATCCACAGTTAGGGACAGATATCACTGGACTTGTGGGAAGAAAACTGCATTTGTGGTTTTTCTGCTCTTATTGAACATTCACTGTGTTTTTACAGCACTAYCACACTGGAGCAGTTTGTTTGAATAATTTAATGATTTATTGTCTTAGCCTTGTGTCCACACAGAAAGGGTGTGAAAACTGAAACTGAATCTCAGAGTAATAAAATCTGTGTTTTTGTATGGAACACACCAGGGGCGGAGTGGGGAAAWTTTTCAGCCCGGGAGTTTAATGGCCAAGACCGGCCTGATTTTTGTGCATATAAAAAATTAGGCAAATGTCATGCTACCAGGTGCATCCCAAAATGGTAGTGGCCCGGGGTGGGGGGTGGGGGGGTCTTTTTTCTTTTTTGGGGGAGCGCATTGGTTGACCTAATGGATAGCCCCTCATCAGAGCTAAACAACGAAAGCTCCTATATTTAATAGTTTTTGAGCAATAACCATTTTTGTATGTCCAGATACCCCTTTTTCAGATAAATTGGGGGTCCCGGGGGGGGGGGGGGGGGGTACTGATTGGTGAGCCTGATGGATAGAGCTTCAACATAGGAGCTTCAGATTTTTTTTTTTTTTGTTTAGCTCTGATGAACAGTTTCTGAGTTATAAGTATTTTTGCATGTCCAGACACCCTCTCTTTGGATGGAGCCCCCACCTCAAATATGGGCTCTATCGTAAAACCGTTGGCTGGCGCAGTGTAGGTCGGACTCATCTACAGTCCTGCCAAATTTCATGTTGATCGGTGCAGCTGTTTTCGTGCTACGGTTG